TTATTCCTTACATGATATAGAAAGACAATTAGTTTTTCATCGTATTTTTTTGTTTATACTGCAAATCTGTGCCATTACAGATATTGCAATTATATATGAAAATTTCTTTAAAAGCTTTTTTCATACGTATGGACAACTCATTCGTTTGTTGTTATTGTTTACTGTTTTTGAAAATAGAACTTTAGTGTGGTGTTTTGCTGCTCAACTGAGATTTATTTGCGTAATATTGATTTTTTCATGATCATGAAATAGTGCTTAGTGTAAGAGTTTCAATATTTTTACATTTATAATCGATCTATTGGACTTAAAATAAAAAAAATTATTTTTGCAATGCTGACTTCTACCAGAGTTAAGCCGTCAAGATGAGAGTTTTTCTCTGAGATTCTGATCCTTTCGTGATCGAAAGTTTCTTGTATTCTATAAATGATTTCCATGTATATCAGATGTATTAGCAGTACGTTCAAAATCTTACGTGAAAAAGTCAGACTAATTCTAAACGATGCTAATGCTTGTTTTGATTAAGCAATAAGACCTTACTAGAGTCCTAGCTTTCTCTTATCTTATTTTCATATTGCCACGTTCACCTTGGATCCATGCGGATCTCCGACGAAAACGAGTGCTTTGAAGATATGTCTTACTGCTCGGTCATATAACTAATGAGTGGATGCAATCAGTTCATATTGATAATACACCCTATTGTCATTCAGTGGAATATAAATTGAAGGGGTAAAATGTAACCGTTGTGTTCAGGCAGCATCCAAATGAAACCGGTGGAATTTGGGCATATTATTGGTGGTCGGATTAGGTTTAAGAAAATAGCATCATTATACCGAAGTTCAATCGAATGATAATACTATGTTTTTAACATATATTTTGTTTTTTTAAAATACGCATATTAGTGTGTGATAACGAATGTATGTTTGCCTGAGAAGAAACCACTGGACATTTTTCTAAAAAATTCTCCATAAAATATCTACATACAATGCTTGATATTTCTATGTGATGAAACTAAATTTTATTTTATTTCAGATTGAAAATGTTCTCATGTGATTATCTTCGTAGTCATTTCCACTGTTTTTTCCTATTTCTTTTATTTCCTTCATCATTATCTGTAATTCGCATGAGTGTACCTAAATTATTATTTCCTTATCATAATCGTATAGAAACAAATTTTACATTAGAAGCAACTGATGGATGTTTTATATGGTCTTCATCTCGTCCAGATTTGGTTCATGTTGATCAATTGTTGTCAGTAACTAAATACGGTCAAACATGTAGTTCAAAAGCAAATGTGATATCAATAGCGAAACAACCGATTAGGAATAGTGCGACGGTGTATGCTAAAGATGTAATGACAGGTCAAACAGTTCGATGTGATGTAATTATTGATAAAATATCAGCATTAGAAATTATCTATACAACAACACGTTTATATTTGGAAGATGCACCCGAATTATTCAAAATACGAGCACATGATCATGTTGGTTCAACATTTTCATCAATTGATCATTTTCCATTCGAATGGAAATTATTAACAGATGATCATTTAACAGCAACTACAGGTATAAAACATAGAATGTGTCTTATACGTAATTTATATTCTTTTCTTTATCTATATTTTAGAGCAAAAGAAACATATGAATGTAGTAGATGCAACAAAAGTAATTCGTATATTACGCTTAACCGATTCATCGTATGAGATGAGTGATACAATTCGAGATTTAGAATCTCACGGTTCATTAAGTTATAAAATATTATTAGAAGGTTTACGTACTGGATCAGCATTAGTTCAAGCTGAAATAATTGATAATGATTATTATCGTTCAATTCAAACAAAATCTGTTCGTATTAGTGTTAGTGCCAACGTTCAATTATATCCATCTTATGATTTATATTTATTACCATATTCACGTGTTCAATTTCGTCTATTACAAATAAAACGAAATGAATATAAAGATATTTCAACATTACCGTCAACGAAACAATTGTATGATGTTAATGTATTAAATACAAATGCTGGAGATTTTAATAAAAATACGTATCTATTTAAAGCAACTGATCATGCTGATGAAACAACTCGTGTGGAATTAATTGATCGTAATATGAAAGCAATCGATTTAGATTCCTATGAACCAAATTACGTTTCAATAAAAATTGTAAATGTTGGATATTTATCAGCAACAACTAATGCAACAAAAACATGGATATTTCAACTGGGTCATACATATCTATTAACAATTGAGTTATTTGATGTTAATGGTAGAAGAATATATTCAGCTGATAATTTAAATTTACAAATCAATATTCCAAAAGAACAACACAAAACATGTCTGACATTGAAATCATCACATAAGAATGGTACACAATATGAGATAAGACCCAACTGTGTTGGAAGATTTCATCTAGAATTTCACTTGAATGGTATATACAATGAACGCAATGAATTGATCCAGTTAACATCAATAGCCACAAGTGGAGAACAATATTTCGATGTTTATCTACCATTAACGGTTACACCAAAACATATTTTATTACCGGCTGATACAACATCAACGAATGATCAATCAACGTCATCTTTACAAGCATGTCATTTAACTGTAGCCGGTGGTAGTGGTGATTATATATGGACATCTCATGATGCAAATATAGGTACAGAACTAGACATGCACCGGTATATATCGATTGCACTTTCATATTCGTTTCATAAAAAGCTTTTCGTAACACAAAATAATCATCTAGAAAGTTTTTAACCACTTTGGGTGTTGTACAGCAAACATTTCTCTATCAAACGAAGTTTGACAGTACCTTCCGTCTTGTTTTAGTAGTTAGATAAAAAAATGTTCAGTAAACGCCTAACGACTGATATTAATACTGATTTATGGCTCTTTGTCAAGGAGCGATTATGATAAAAAAGAAAAGAGATAAAGGAAGACTCTAATGAAACTTCTTATAACCAAAATTTTGACTTTTTGAATTTTTTAGTAAGATCTCGACTCAAGATTTTGATAAAAACCAAGAAAATTCAAGATCTTAGACGTCTTGAAATTTCTTGAGTTCTTGTATTAAAGTCTTGATATTTTTTGAATTGTCTCATACTCTTGCTAACATATAACTACAAAAATTTTCATATTTAGAATAACTTCGAAATTTTTTCTTTCTTGAACTGATCCTTGTTCCAGGATGAGTCTATGACCATCTTGTGATTTTATGTCTCTAATGGTTACGGCTGTCATATGATAATACTTGAAACATTTTGATTCAATTCACTCAAGATCTCGAACGCAAGTTTCAAGAATCAATATTTTGGGTACAAGAAGTTACACTAAAGCAGTTTCACCATAACTTATATTTTGTAGAGAAATGTTTGCGCTGTAAACCTAAATCATCAAAAAATGTTAATATTTTTGATTCTACAATTAGTGTGACTAAGAAAAGGAGTAAAATATACCAGTAAATACCGGTGCATGACTATAAAAAACTTTTCAATCTATCCAAAGTAGACATAAATGATTTCACTTGTTTATAATATCAATAGTTTATTGATGAAATTATCTTTATTTATTTTTTTTTTCTGTTATAGTTAGTGTATCGGCACATGGAAATTTGATTGAACAAAGTGGAGCTGCGAATCAAACAATTGTTCAAGTATTTGATATGAAATCACCAGAATTAAATGCATCCGCCCATATAGAACTTGTTAAACCTGATCAAATGGAGCTGTTAACCTGTCCTGTTGAAACGGAATTATCAAATACATTACGTTTACCAATTAAAATGTCTTATAAACATAATCAATTAACATGTTGCTCCCGATTAGATTTTCATGTTCAATTAGACGATGAACAATTATCAAATGGTATATTTGAATATCAAGGTGTTGTATCTCCAAACAATGAAAAATATAATGATGATAAATCGGCTTGTGCCATTTTACTATTTAAATCGATTAAATCCGGTCTAACAAGTGTTCGTGTAACATTAAAATCATATAATTTAGAACAATCACTATTGATTAGTTCCTATGAGTCATTATATGTGAATCGTCAACGATTATTATTATCAGTTGATTCATTGTTTCATTTAAAACTTGCAAATGGTCCCTTGATTGTGTCGGATCAACATAAGCATCAACAGAATCCACAACAATTTGATATAACATCGGCTGATAATGAACAACCAGTTGATGAAGCACATTTAAAAATAAGACAACATGGCAATCAATATATCGATGTAAAATGTCGAAAACAAGGAAATTATAAAATTAATATACAAATGATTAATAAAGTAACAAAACAAAATACATGTCCAACGAAATCATCTATTCAAATTGATATTCAATGTGAAAATATGCCCAGTTATCTAGTATTTGAACCTATCTATGATGGAATAAAAACCTTATCTACGGCATGTCCACTAACAACGAAAACAAAAGTTGTCGCTTATTATGATAAACCATTAACCATTAAGGTAAAAATCAAATTTGAACACACATGTCGCTCGCTACTTTTAACTTTCAGATAAATGAAATATAGATTTTTTTTTAATGTTTCTAGGTTACTGCCTACGATGAACGACGTAGACAATTCGATAATTTTACATCTCTTCATGTTGATTGTTCAATATCAAATAAAGAATTAGCTAAATTTAAACAAGATCATGGTAAATTAGATCACAAGATAAATGAAAATGACGATTCAGATATTGCTTATGTTGAAATTATTCCAAAAAAAATAGGTGGTAATTTAACGTTAACATGTCGATTAAAATCATCTTTAATTGATGAACAATTAAATATTGAATTTGTTAAAGGAATTCAGTTTGATCATGAAAATGATGGTATCAAATTACTTCATATGAACGATAAATCAGTTGGTTCTCGTTTAAATATCTTAGGTGGTAGTGGATATTTTAAGTTTGAAATGAATGAAAAAGAAAAGGAAGCATATATTAAATTGTATAATGAACCAGATAATTCAAGACAAATAATTATGAAACCAGTGAGACGAGGTAATACGCAATTAACTGTTATTGATCAATGTTTACCATTATCACAAGCACAATTGGATATACATGTAGCAGATCTATATGAACTCAAAGTATTTGGATCCAGTCGCTTGGAAAACAATAAAACATCATTATTGTATTTACAAGTGTACGATTCAAATGGAAATTATTTTGATCTAGGTAAGTGATTAATTCAATTTAAAATGAATTGAGACCTCCTTTCTCCAGTATGATTCAATTTGATCTAAGCCATCATTCTTTTAGACTGTTGAAGGTTATACAGCAGTTTCGTCGTTTTCTTTTTTTAACTTTTGAGATAACTTCCTAGTGAATGTACTTGTGAGTGATTACTTGTTTGCTTGCAAATTTCCATGGGTACTTGACAATCATATGACAAGTATTTTCAAAAAATAATACTTGATAAATGCCTGAAAACACTTGCCAGGTACTTGATTTACTTGCTGAACCTCCCACGGGTACTTAGGCAAGAGCCTGGCAAAGAACTCGACAAGAAGATAAAGTATTTCAAGTACTTGTTTTTCGTGGAAAGTATTTGGTTTACTTGCAAAAAAGCTCAAGAACGTTGGACAAAACGTGTGGGGGTACTTGGCCAAGTATCTGCATGCGAGTACATTCACTAGGGAAGATTCTTCAGAAAAGAAAACCAAGAAAAGATGAAGAATAATTATCTCTTTTACGTCATTATCCTAACTTAATTTGACATTTTAAAACTAACCCGAGCTCTCTTGCTGTTCTCTGAGAGGAGAAATCTGCGGAACGGCTAATATCCCATCGCGATCATTATTCGAGTGAACAAAAGTAGGTAGAGTCGTCAAAATTTTATCGTAACTATTTTTCGGCACGATCAACATTCGCTGAAAGTTTGGTTCAGATCGGACTTATAATCATCGAGATAGATTTTTAAATTGAGTGAGGCATCCTAAGAGAGAAAATAAATATTAAAACTTGTTTATTGAAGAACTGCATTTGCTTATTTCGTTTTTTCTTGTTATTTTAGACGATAGTACATTTCAATTAATGGATATTCATGTAAATCAATCCAATCCATTATTATCTATTGAATATGAACCAAAATCGAATTTAAATTCTTATACCATAGCCTATCGTTTAAAAGCAAATGAATGTGGTCGAACATATTTACAATTTTATTCAAAACAACAACATCGACGAAGTTCACAAATTGAATTTGAAGTATTTCAATCATTAGTACTCGAACCAAAATCTTTGACATTATTACCATTATCAACTTATCAACTGAGTATTATTGGCGGACCTCAACTACCAGGAACCACAGTAGAATGGTCAACAAATGATACAAATATCATTCAGATACATGCAAATAATATTATTGAAGCAAAACATTTGGGATATGCTTTAGTTAAAGCCAGAGTTGTTGGAATGGATCGACTTGCCGCTAAGGTATGTTTTCTAAGAATATCATTCTCTTCTGAAATGACATGAAAAGAAGTGAAAATTCTGTTTCAATAACTAGGATTTTTTTTCGTGTTATTTTTAGTCAATTGTTTATGGTGAAGATACATGTTATATTCGTGTTATCCGTGTTCACAAAATTCGTTTACATTCTCCGACAACTGAATTATTACCTAAAATGCTTGTACCATTAAGAATAATACCATTAGATTCTGATAAAAATCCTATTTTATTTTGTGATGTTTTGAGTTCATTGACGTTTACATGGTCATTGTCTAATACACGCGTAGCTCAATTACGACCAATTATTGGCAATGTCTCATTATCATTGGCTCGTACATTTGTTATGAATTTAGAAACACTCTCATCTGGTCGTTTAACAATTGATGTCCGTTTAACAACAACAAGAGAACAATTATTAATAACAAAAGAATTACGTGATTCAATTGACTTAACAATAACTGAACAATTTAAAATTGGTGATTTTGGTGAGACACGTACAATTTTATTAAGTCCAAATTCTCGTTTATCACTGAATTACGTACCGAATGATGTTGAACTAGAATTACAAACATCACCAATTGTCAAATTAACATCAACGGATAACAGTTTGGAAGCAAATTCATTGACAGGTGAAACGATATTATATATGAAACATCGGAACAAAAATAGTAAAACAAAATCAAAATCGTCAATACTTGGCGCTTATCTTGTACAAGTAAAACCAATACATTATATGTTACTGCAAAGTTTTCTGCCTATAGAAACAGCATCACTATTACCTGCTGTACCTGTTGATTATAAATTACCATTAACGATTAGTTATCACGATGAACTGGGAAGAAAGTATGTATGACAATTGTTTCCAATCGGTCTATCAAATTCAAGCGCTAATAAAAATGTTTTATTTTAGATTTGATTCAGCATCTGTTCCACTTCGCGTATGGTTACATCGTCGTGACATGATATCTGTTTCACCGGATCCTCATAATACAACGTACGATGTAATTCCATTAACTGATGGTTCAAGTATTGTTGAATTCGGTAGTAGTGATTCGTCTTATGATCATTTACGCTCCTATTTATCAATTCAAGCAGCATCGGGTTTTCTCATGCCAAAATCTATATCATCTACCCTATCAAAGACAAACGTGGTAGATTCTTATGTAGTTGGCGATATTATTTGTTTTGAATCACGTCTGTCTTCCACAACGTACGATGGTACAAAAGTAGACGACGAAAAAACGACAACAGAAGACGGAGGAAAAGAACGCTGGAGTGGTGACGATGGTATGATTATTGATCGTAAATATGGTATTGCACAGTTGTTAATTGATGGTGAAAGACACTTACATTATCAAATCGATGGACAAGTATTGACAAGTGAACGATTTAATGTACATTTGCCAAAACAATTAAGATTATTAACAACCGATAATGATTTCATACAAAATGGACAACAAAGTAAGTCCACAATTTTATTTAGCCACTTTTTCATTAAGTAACATTGAAGCTAAAATCTTTTTTTGTACATACTGAGTAATTTATTTATTTTTCTTTGATTTAAGATACAGTTAAAAGTTACTTTTATCCAGTTATTTTCGGTAATAGTCAAACAAATGTTCATGGTTTATGTCATCGTCATGGACTTGAGCACGCTCACTCAAAAGATATATTTCACCCACAATTTCAATGTGATTTGGAATTCATCAGTATAGATGATGAATCTTCATTAACTCATTCACAATATAAAGCATCGTCAATATTTGATGTTCGTCCTGTATTTGATATCGACCTACCTGGATGGGCGTGCGAAATTCGACCAATACCACCTTTACACCATTCTCATCATTTGAGTACATTCGATAATTCTCTAAGTTTAATTGTTCAAAGTAAGAAATATAGTTTGAAATCAAATTCAATCACAATCGAATTTCAACCATTCTTCTCTGTAAAACCTTCATCATCAATGACTCTCTCCGATGATCATCCATTTTCACATATTCACGTGTATACAACCGGGAAAAACGAAAAATATATTCAAATACGTTCATCAAATCCTGCTCTTGTACACATTGAAAAAAACAGTACAACACCATTCGTTTACAATGTTGAATTAAGAACAGATGAACGACGAACTAATGAACCGGTCTATGTTCATCTGACGAATACATTGACAGGACAAGAAGAAAAGCTTGAGATCAAATTACATCGACGATTAACTGACTATCCATTGGGACGTATGTTATCCAGTTTATTCTTTTGCATCGTTATTTGTTCAATTGTTTACGGTCTCGCTAATTTCTGTAATCGTGCAAAAAAGCAGCAAATTCCATTGTCACCAACAAAATCACCACAACAATCACCCGTACCACGTCTCTTCATTTCACCACCATCACCCAATCAAAGTCAAAATCGTCTGTTACAACAAGATGATATTCTTGATTATGGTGCCCCATCATTCAGAAGTACCGATTCATTTTCACCAACTAAACAACAACTACCAGTCCGTTTATATTCTGCCCAAGATTTACGTACAAGACAATTACAATCACCACGTACAACATCAAGCAGTTTTGCACTAGGGAATAGTAGTAGTGCTACTGCTGCAACAAATTTTGATCTTGATTTCCCAACGAGACTTCGAAGACTCTATGATCAGTGAAATACATGATTTTCATTTTTTGTTGTTAGATTATTCTATCTCAGGAACATAATTTTTTTATATTCATCCGGTGTTCTCTCTTTCTTTAGGTAATTTTTTTTCTTTTTGTTTTTGTTAACTACTCCAGATTTTAAAATTGTGATATAAATGTTTGTTTTGTTATTTCTTGTTTTCACTTTTCTAATCGTCTGGCAACATGCCAAGTCAAAATGTCTCGGAAGTTTTTGTGTACAAAAATGTTCTATTGTTCTTTCTTTGCTCAACACTCGTTTCATAGTGTATTACTCTTGTGCTTGCCTTCGTATTTCCAGGAAATCATAATTTTTTGCTCAATTGATGTTCTAGTGTATATAGAGTAGCATAGAAATATAAGCATGCTCAATGCTATGTCAATAGTATTAAGATTTTGTATGTAGTTGTAAAGTTAGCTATAGGTAATTCGTGTAAAGTAAAACAAAATTCATGTATAATTGTGTCTTTAGTTGTATTATTTCTCAAAGAAATCCTGACCTTTTTGATCTTCTCAAGTAGTTTATTATTGTTGTTATTGATACATTTCTTGCTATACAAGTTTTTTTATTCTCTGTTTTTTTGTCTGCAGGTTTTGCTGTTGTTATTTTTTGTTTGAAAGGAAGAAAAAAGCTACTTTTTAGAAAAGTCTAAGACAAAAACTCAACAAGGTCATAACAGGGATAGTTTCTGAACCGTATTGAAAACCTCACAAACTTTCAGAAATATAGCAAACTCATTTTGAGTTTTTACTCTTGATATTGTATAAAGAGAGTACAAAGCAATGCCTATTTGACTTCTGCATGGTTTCAAGCGTATCATTACTGATTGCTGATAGCGTAAGAAGTTGTTCTTTCTCTTTCTTTCTCTAGATTTAACTGTAATTAAGACTCACATTTCTGATAATTTTTCTAGTAATCGATGATTCATTTATAAAAAAAAAAAATGATTTGATTTTTAACATGAGAACTACGGCAGGTGTTCAAGATACTAAAAATTGCACTTCGTCTATAATCAGTAAGAGAAAAGGCGAAAATATATATAAAATGGAAAGGCGAAATAAAATGTGCACCTGTGAGAATATGCTCAGACCAATTACTTGAATAAAGTTTGAATTAAACATTTGACTTGGATTTACTCAATTTTTTTTTATTAGAAACGTTTTGCCTTTTAGTGTGATGCAGTAGTTACAATGTAAAGAAACATGTTCGTGGATAGAAGCAGTCTTCTAGTATGGTCTAGAAGAGCTGTTTACTAACTGCTCGATTTAATTGAAATTTTTATTTCTAAGACCAGTCTGTCAAAGGATCATATACTTCGTGTTTGATTAATGTAACCTATTTCGTTTCATTCTAGTGAGACGAGATAAATGTTTGACTAAAAACGTTATAGAAATATTTGCTTCGTATAGTTTGACATTTTGTATGTGAAAAGCATTTTTCAAGTAATGTTAATAGAAGTATATCTTTTCAGATGTGCTAATATTATTGGCTGTCTACTTTAATTAATTATCGATTTCTTTCATTTTATCAATCTAACAACATTCCACAAGAATAACATGCCGTTATTTCTACAATCCATTTATTTTCTGTTTTTATTTTTCTTAACATTTTGTCATTCACTTCGTTCACCACTAGAAGTTGAAAAAGATTCATCTGTCTATAAACTTTTGGAACATTATCATCACTATACGGAATTAGACGGATTATTACAAACATGGTCAAAAAATTATTCAAAAATTTCGCAAGTATTTTCCATTGGCAAATCATTTACAGGACGTGAATTATTTGTATATCGTTTGACTTCGCCAATGATTAACAATACAAATGTGGATGATAGTATCAATATCGAACAATTATTAAAACCAAAATTTAAGTTTATTGCTAATATGCATGGTATGTTTTCAATTCTTTAATATGATCCATATGTCTCAGTATTACTTCTTATTTAAGGTGATGAGACAATTGGCCGAGAAATGATGATAGCATTAATCTATTATTTATTATTAAATGCAAAATCTGATGAAAGGATTAATCGATTATTAACAACAACAGATATATATATTATGCCAACAATGAATCCTGTAGGTTTGCATCTTGCTTTCTTTTACTTTCTACATTAACAATGTTTTTTCTTTGAGGACGGTTTTGAACGTGGTAGGGAAGGTGCATGCGATAGTTCTAGTGATCATGGACGAAACAATGCAAATGGTGTTGATTTAAATCGAAATTTTCCTAGTCAATTCGATTCACCAAAAGACGATTTATTTAATAATAGAGAACCGGAAACTGTTGCAGTTATGAAATGGATATTAAATGAAAATTTTGTTCTTTCGGCAAATTTACACGGTGGAGCTGTGGTGGCTTCTTATCCATATGATGAAACGGCATTACATCAGATGAATACTTACGGAGCAGCACCGGATGATTCATTATTTCGACATTTGGCGCGTGTTTATGCAAGCAAACATTTGACAATGCATCGTGGTCAGTAAAAAACAGACAGAAAAGCCATCTGCTATATATTTTTTTTTATTACTTTACTTTTTTTTCAGGTAATTTATGTAACGAAAATTTTCCGGACGGTATTACAAACGGTGCCAGATGGTATGATGTGCAAGGTACATAGCTTAGACTTTATCAATTGCACTCACTTGAAAATACATGCCATTTGTTTTTTCATTCTTTCAGGTGGCATGCAAGATTTTAATTATTTACACAGTAATGCATTCGAAATAACTATCGAATTAAGTTGTTGTAAATTTCCAACATCTGGTACATCATTAACTGAAGAATGGGATAATAACAAAGAAGCGTTATTGTCATATATTGAACAGGTTCATATGGGGGTAAAAGGTTTAATTCGCGATTCTGTTAGTCATACGGGCATATCAGGTGCTCTTATTCAAGTCGAAGGTATATTACATCCTATCAGAAGTGTTTCCCAAGGTGCTTACTGGCGTTTATTATTGCCCGGTTTATACAACATCACTGTTACAGCATCCGGATACGAACCACAAACCAAAATGTTGGTCAACGTGATCACTGATAATACGACACGATTAGATTTTGATTTAATTCAAATATCATCTAAACCAATACTATCAACCGATAATTTAAATATATTATCGAATTATGCCAATATTCTAATGTCAGGTGAATCTGTTGCCAAAGATAATTTTTTAAAAACATTACTTGAACCATCCTCATTTCATTATCATACTTACTTACAATTAGTTGATCAATTAAAATTATTAAATAAAAAATATCCAAATATAACGAGTTTATACACGATAGGTAAAAGTGTACAAAATCGAGATTTATGGGTCATTGTCATTAGTGATCAACCATTGATACATGAACCAGGTGAACCAGAATTTAAATACATTGCAAATATGCATGGTGATGAATCAGTTGGTAGAGAATTATTGTTATTATTTATTGAATACTTGTGTATCAATTATCAGCATAATGATTATGTTACTCGTCTAATTGATAATGTAACTAAATAACTTGAATTTATACCGACAATATTGACTATTTTCTGTTTGATTTAGGTTCGAATTCATATCATGGTAAGCATGAATCCCGATGGTTTTGAAGCTGAATATAACCAACATGATTTCGTAAATACAGATAAATATGTTAAAGATAAAGGACGTCCAAATGCAAATAATATTGATTTAAATCGTGATTTTCCATCAATTAATTTAAATGAAATAAATCAACAATCAAATGGTGCCGTTGTTGTCAATAAACAAACACAAAATCGTTTCGATAAATTAGATAGTAAACATTTAGAACCTGAAGTACGAGCGGTTATGCATTGGTCAATTGTTTACCCATTTGTTTTATCAGCAAATTTACATGGCGGTGCTCTAGTCGTCAATTATCCATACGATGTTAATGTAGTATATAAAAATGGAAATTCTAGCAAAACACCGGATGATGATACATTTCAAATGTTATCTAGAGCCTATTCTCAAGTGAGCTCTATTCTGTTCTCTTATACGAACATAGTTCGATTCATTTTTGTTTTTAGGCTCATCCTACAATGCATGATGGAAATAGTTGTGTAAAATTTAAAGATGGCGTAACAAATGGCGCAAATTGGTATATCGTTAATGGTGGCATGCAAGATTGGAATTATGCTTATACAAATGATTTTGAAATAACAATTGAGCTTGGTTGCATTAAGTATCCAGCGGAAGAACAGTTACAAACATACTGGAACGATAACAAAGGAGCTTTATTAGTATTTGTCACACAAGTAAGCATTTTTGTTTTTGACTATCATGTTATATTCTAAATTTAATTCTATTTTTGCTATAGGTTTTTTTTGGTATTCGTGGATTTGTTTATGATATCAAAACAAAAATGGCACTATCTGGGGTATATTTTATCGTTTAATACGAGCCTATATCAAAGAAAACTAAGATTGTTTGTTTGTTTAGGTATTGATTCATGTTCATGGTATTAATCATAATGTAACCACATACCAAGATGGAGATTTCTGGAGATTATTAGCACCAGGAACTTATAATGTAACTGCCGAACGTCTTGGGTAATTTATTAAATAACTATTGTTTGAATGACGCTTAACTTTACTCTCTTTTATCGTAGTTATGCATCAGAGACAAAAGAAAATGTTGTTGTTAGAAATCATTCATCAACATTGATTGAATTTCATTTAAATAGAACTAATCCAATAGAAGAAACAGTACCAGCATCATCAGATTCAAACCAACAACAAACAGTCTATCAACGAGCAAAATATTTTGTTTTACATGAGAAAGCTTTTCTGTTTATTGCTGGTATTTGTGGTACGTTTTTCTGACTAACGTCTTAATATTTGACTAACTCTTTTATTCTATTCATAGCGTTAGTATTGTCAACATGTTTGATTACGTGTGTAATTTGTTTGAGATGTGCTCGAAGTCCAGTAAAAGAAAAAGATAGAAGAGGATTTCAACGGTACGAACCTCTGGCAACGGATATCAGTCAAGAATGTGAGACTCGTCCAAGACAAGCGCCCATTAGTCAACTGAGAAATATCTTTTCAAAATCTCAAACAAACGATGACAATGGACGATTATTAGCCGCTGATGATGATTCGGATGATGATATGGATGTTCCTCAAAGATCATAGCTTTCTTTTTCATTGTACTTTTATACCAGTGTCTTTCTCTCTCATTTCTATTTCATTCCAGTACTCGTCTTTCTTTTGTTAACTATTATTGGTGCAAAAAATTGTTACCTCATTTTAAAAGTTTTCTTTTTGTGAATCTCATTTAACGAATATTTGAACGATACTAATAAAATTTATGCCAAAAAACTGAACAGTGATACTATCAGTATATCTTCGTATTTGTTATCTGTTTTGTGTAATGTGCTATTATATCTCAAGTAAAAAAACTTTTCTTACGTTTATTGTGGTTTTTCGTGTATGCATTTATGTCTTATATTATTATTACTAACATGTGTGTTTTTTAAATAACAATAAAAAATATATTATTGAAAACTAGTATTAAAAATAAATAATTGTGCAATATATGTGGGGATGAGTTTATTGACTTATTAGTTTATTTTTGTCATCGTAGGACAATCTGATTTATAATTATGAATGTTTTTTATATTCAGATGATGTATGTATAAGCTTTTACCGTTTTATTGGCGTTGATTGTAGCGCCTCAAGTGACATTCCTGTATGTGGAATGCTTCTGCTCGCACACAGGTACCACAAAAATATAATTATGCTAAGCGATTTTAAATGTGGTCAAAGCAAACGGATGTTAAACTCTGTTTGTCACAAAATACCATAAAGAACAACGCCAAAGGAGTCATCACGCTCTTTTACGTGATCGCACAACAGTTTCTATCGACATCTGACGATAGTTTAAAACTCCTTTAAGTAGCTTCCTTTACTCTGTTGAGGAATGGTACAAAATGAGATATAATATTCGATCGGAACTAAATTTTTACAAATTTTACCATGCTCCTTTGTTTCTCTGTGAAGTTTAATTCCTACTTTTCTATTGGTCGAAGTTGTGTTTATCATAGTCCATTGTCTTTGTCCCCATACAACAAAGTACCTTTTAGCTAGGCAGCGTGAGATGCACGGTTATCTATGGGATTAATTAACAGTGATATATTGATTTTTCACTCAGGATAATTAGATTTTGTTAATCAAATTGTGTTGAACATATGAAGTGAGTTTTCAAAGGAATGGTAAAATGTTTGATATAAGCTAAGCGTTTTCAGCTATTGATGGTATGAGCAAAAACAAAGTAGACGTTTCGAAGTCCAATTTTTACTGTTTTCCACTGTGATAAAAGAAAATTTCATTTTGCTTCCCACTTTACTTTTGGAGTATCACTTTTCTTTTTTTCTGAATCTGCTGTAATTTCTGGCATAGTGGCTACGTCATTTGCTTCGCAATCGGAGTTTCTTAGCATGATTCTAGTGATCAGTCGTACCTGTGGAACCAAACTATATATACAGTTTGATTCTTGACAATGTACTCTGTTTTATAGCTTGTAAGCAAAAGCGAATTGAACTGTATACAATTTGAAATTTAGATTTACAGTTTGTTATTTCAGAGACTTTTGTCTAATAGTATTGGAAACGAGGGTTAGCAAAGTTGACAAAGAGAGGATTAATGGATGAAAGAAAACGGCTAACTGTACATCGGTTAGATGTAATGTTTAACCTCGATTGTTGATCTCAAATCGCGTGTAATGAACGGTCAGACGGTGAAAACTATATTTTTTTGTTGTATTAGAGTTGAGACTTTTTTTCTCCTTAGAACCTGTGGTTATCTAAATGTGTCATTGCTGTTCGAAAAAAAACTCGTAAAAACAGACCTTGGCAATTCTCGTGCTTGACTGCTACGCTTTAAGCAGAACATGTACAGTCTGCGGAAGAAAAGAATCTACCGCTACAATTTGGTCGGTAGAATCGAATGCCATTAGAAACGCGGAAGATGTACATGGACACTTTCCATGAACATGGTTTTGTCCATCGAATTCTCACCTTGGTAGCTCTGTCAAAGAAAAAAGGCATATTATTTAATTGAAGACAACTGACTTAAGTTTTACTTTCTGAGATAGTAATACGAGAAGAAAACGAATAATAGAAATATTCGATAGAAAAAGGGATGATATTCATGCGGCTTTGATTAATTTCATTACCTTCCCGTCCATCAATATCGGTTTCTTTCTCGTCGTTGGCTTCTGTTTCTTGTACTTGTACACATTTGTTATGTACGATTTGTACGATGTACACATTTGAATGCCCGATTCGTATGTTCAGACTTAGCAACTTATTGACTTTAGTTGAATCGAGGTATGGTTACTTGAAATCAAACACTCGCACTCTTCTATTTGATACGAGCTCATTCAGTTAGATTTCTTCCGTTATTCTACACATAGAAAACAGTTATTACGAACTTCAGACTTCTAAAGTTACAGCAAGAGATACATTTTTTTCTCCTGACAATGACGAGTTCTCTGCCGCATTCGCCGAAAATCTTTCTTTTCTATCGCTTATAATTGTTTTTGTGTTTGCAGCCAAGAATAGATAGTACGTATGTGGATTAAAAATGAATATAAGAGTAGGAAATCGAACTGGATAATCTCCTTCTTCTTGATGAATCTATCGTCATGTGATGCGATTCTTCTCCTTGCCTATCGACGAAGAGAATTTCAAATCTAAACTGAGCAACCTTTTGCTATCCATGTCCGCTGACATATGACCAACACAAAGCTGTTCTGAGGCATGTAAATCTATCAGAGATCTCTATTTATATATCTTATACTCGCCTATACATGTCTCACTACAATCGCTTGAAGCGATTATTTATCGATACAGTGAAAACTTCCGATATAGTTTAAGTTGTTATTTAAAACGCTGTATGTTATATCGGAGAGTTTTTTTTTCTGTTCCACTTATAAGGATTTTTTCTTCTTACTGTCTCTAATGAATTTATAATGTTTTCACAAACAAGTCTGTCAACACTGCAATTGAAAAATTAATTTCTTTTATTTTTTCAATTCCACTGCCAAGATCAAGGGAGGGAAGAGCAGCACCTAGTGCCGATTAGGCTAAATTTTTAGAGTTACTTCATAAAACTTCCTCCACCTCGCCAAAGTTATATCGAAAACACTGTATACTAAAAAAAGTGCTTTTTCGCTCTTGATATAGATACCATTTTTGGACATATGAGTAAAAACTTACACTTGAATTGATCCTTTATTGTTTTTCGTGTAATCACATGAAAGATATTTCTGCTAAATTTTACGTTTTAAAATAATAATACGAGAAGAAAACGAATAATAGAAATATTGATATAATAAAATATACGATAGAAAAAGCGATGATATTCATACATCTGTAATTTTCTCAATGGTTTCAATCGTATAATACTGTTTTGTCTTGTGCCCCTTATTTTTCTTTTAGTTGCGATCTGTGGGCCTCTCTATAGTTTGACACCATTTTCGGCTCCTCAGCACATTTCCAAATAAAAAATTATGAATTTTTAATATTTTTTATCTTAAGTACATAAAATCGATTCTATCTCGAATTTTCCCGATTCATATTGAAAGTAATATCATACATTCTTGAGAACAAACAAGGAATATATATTTTTTTGTTTTTGAAGAACATGACTTACTTCATGCACGACTTATAAAGATCTTAAGCTGAAACGGCGAAATTTTTCAAAGGACTTCTGCTATTTTGACAATAATCTAGAAAAGCAGACTGCATTTTTCGAAAAGAAAAATTTTAATTCACCAATATTAAATGAATATATTGTTTAAAAAAAAGAAATCATTTATCTTTACTTTTCTAAACAGTAAATTAATAAGTAATAATTTTCTTTTACATGAGAAAAGAAAAATGAGTGCTTTCCCTTTTCTTCCAGAAGTAACACATCTAGTGTGTTGTTTCAGAAAAGCAAAGTACCACTTCTTGTTCTTAAGGATTTGTTGTCTGATCTAAGTTCTTGAAAAATACTATGAAGTTTGTAAAGTAAAATAACTGATTTGTCTGATGTATACACTGTTATCTCATATTTGCTATTTATTTGTTTTTGGATAAAAAAAGCCTCACACACGTATAAAACTCGCAGCGAAATTTATAATGGACGCACATTTTGAACGCCGTCTTCTGTTATCAATGAACGGTATGAGTTCTGTAAATTCTTCACCATTCAAAAGTCCAATTCAATCACCAGTAAAAGCAAGTGACCGTTATATTCCATTACGTTCTTCACATTCAGCAACAAATCTGCATTTTGACACATCGATATCTCCACAGAATGGTTGTGCGTCCTCATCGGTAACAGTATCACCAAAAAAAAGAAAATATGAACAAAATCAGGCTGGTCATGGCGTGGGAGTGACAGGAAGTGAACCAGATTTAGCTATATATCGTCAATTATTGAAAAATACATTATTAAACACGAATGTTGATGTTTTAAAAACATCTGATATTCAAAATGAGTGTGTGAAGTCAATACCAATCACAACAAATCATCCTTCAACGACACCTGACGAAAATGTTTCATTATCATCCTTAGGTTCTTCTATATTTAAATATTCGAAACGCGTGGAAAATCCATCACCAACATTGACAATAAACAAAACACATTTTAGTCATTCACCACTCTCATCGACTAATTTACATTTATTATATTCACCGAAAAAAACCGTTCGACGTATACCAAAAATTCCCTATAAAGTACTAGATGCTCCCGATTTACAAGATGATTTCTATCTGAATCTTATTGATTGGTCGCAAACAAATGTTTTAAGCGTGGGATTGGGTTCATGTGTTTATCTATGTAATGCTCAAACAAATAATGTGACATTACTATGTGATTTAACACAGTCTCAAATACAAAATTCAAATTATATGAGTTTACATCAACAACATCAATCAGATAGTGTAACATCGGTGTCCTGGGCTGATAGAGCTCATTTATTAGGTGTTGGTAAGACATTTATCATGTGATATGAACGTTTTGAGATAGCATTGATTGTACTGATATTTTCTTTGTTTTATATTTAGGTACTCACCGTGGTCACGTTCATATTTACGATGTACAAACTCAAAAACGTGTTCAAACAATCTCAAAACATAGTAGTCGTGTTGGTACACTAGCATGGAATGATTCGACATTATGTTCGGGTTCTCGTGATCGTTCAATAATTGAACATGATATTCGTACATCGACTACAGTTCACATGTTTCATGGTCACACTCAGGAAGTTTGTGGATTAAAATGGTCAACAGATAAATGTATTTTGGCATCGGGTGGTAATGATAATCGTCTATTATTGTGGAGTAATACACATCAGACAAATTATTTACAATCATTCAATGATCATTTAGCGGCAGTTAAAGCCATAGCATGGTCACCTCATCAACATGGTCTCTTGGCTAGTGGTGGTGGTACGGCAGATCGTCATATTCGTTTTCGTTCATCGTTAACATGTCAAACACTAAGTGTGTGTGATACAGGCTCTCAAGTATGTCAGTTAATATGGTCAAAAAATTCACCAAATGAATTAGCTAGTACTCATGGATTCTCACAAAATCAAATTGTTGTATGGAAATATCCGACTATGCAACCATTAGCTAAATTATTTGGACATCAACAACGTGTGTTATATTTATCAATGAGTCCAGATGGTGAATCAATCGTAACGGGAGCCGGAGATGAGACACTTCGTTTTTGGAATGTATTTGCTAAATCAAAGTGTGTTCGAAATCCAGATAGTAAATTGAATAGTTTAAATCGTATGAGATAAATATGTTATTATTACTTTTTTTTCTTTTTATTTAGTTTAATTTATATTTCATGTGTGATTTAATTTATTTATCGTGTAACGATTACTTTTTCCTATGATCCTTGTTTTGATCTCTTTTCTTGCCATATGTATACGTATAGTTAATTGTTATGTTTTCTTTAAATCAGATAATACTATGTGCATTTTGGTTTTTTTTATAAGTCTGTTGTTGAACAACAATTTTATATTGCTTTTACTAGAGAGCAGGTATCTCTTCGTTGCTTTTTTCCATGATACCAAGTGTATTTTTTCTTTTCTTTAAGTGGACAAGAAGATAGTTCAGTTAATGAAATTCAACCGCAAAGTATATATATAATTCTGCAGGATGCAATTTTAGTTAATACCTGGTTTTTAACTATCATTTTCATTGAACTATAATAGTGTCAGATATTGTTATCAGTCATCTTATATTTCAGTAGCTCATTAGTCTTTTTTTTTCTACTTTACAATATCAGATGATAAATAATTTACACCGAATGATATTGCTATACATTTTGTTTTCTCTTTTTTTTCTTGTTATTAAGATTTAGTTGATTGTAATTTATTCGTTCTTTTTTTGTGTATCTTAACTTAAGTGAAATAACTGTAAACTGGAAAAAGTGAGCTGTTTTCTAAATCAAATATTAAAAATAAATTAAATAAGAGCAGATATAATCTTAAAAATCGATACATTGAACAATTTCAAATCGAAAAGATTGAGGTAAACAATTGTCAGTATAGAAATAATGCTCTTTATTCAAGTAACTCAAGTTGTGTAGTAGAGATTTTATAGTAGTTTATTAAGTTGAAAACTAGCATTTATATTTCATATTTTTATTATTAATACTTCTATATGATCATCTTGTCTTCATTCTTATGAACACAAAATCCATATTTAAATGTTAATTAAAAAGTTGATCATGGCTGCATTACGATGTTTGAACAAATCTTATCACTGAAAATAGCTGCATTAATGATAAATTTTCTTTAAAGATTATAATAGTTTTAATGCTGCTAGAATCTGGCCTCTCACTCCGCCTCTTTTTCCGCTTTTTTTCTATAAATCCTCCTTTTGGCCTCTTTTTTGGAAAAATCCTCTTTTTCACGAACAAATTCGTTATTGTTGGTTCATGTCATCACGTATTTTTACTCTTGACTTCTACTAGTCGTTAAGCTCGGGTCCTTCGATCAAGTGAGACCAGAAACTCTCTGAGCAACCTAGATGAAATAAAGTGCCAATCCAATCTATGTAGTATATTTAAAAATAATGATAAAAATACATATGTAGGAATAACATGAAGTAAGGAGACCAAAATTTCTGTTGCTTTCGTTTTATTTCTCATTTTCTTTTGCGCATATTATGAAGAATGCAAATGTGAACAATACTGTATTTCATTTTTCGCTGTTTCCTCACCATTGAACGTGAGTGGTGCGACCAAGGCGTTCAAACACGAATTCGCAGATTGCGTTTTCCCGTGCGAATTGTACTTCGCTGCAACTAACCGGTACTTCGAGCACTGTGTAAACATACCAAATCTGCGAAGTGTATCGAGGAGCGAATTGCATTTAGAAACTATTCAACGTCTTTTTCCGTCTCAACAATCTGCATTTCCGAAGTGATGGCGAATTGTACATTGTTGAAAACATGCTCATCAATGTGCAGACACGAATTCGGCAAAACTCGCTGACCTGTTTAGATGTCAATTCAACAATGGTGGCAATGTGCAGTTTTGCACATCGTCGCTACCAAATTTAACACAACGATGTGCAAGATCGAATTCGCCGAACTATGTAAATTTTTGAAAAAAGAAAGCAAAAGTTATGTGTCAACTCGAAGCAATATAAAAATGAGCACTTTGGAAACCATTACTGTAGAATATGAATCCAACTATGTGCAAGACAGAGTCGTTCACCAATCTAAACTAGAACCCACATGACTACACACGATAAATATCGGAAGTGGAAGAAGGTTTCCCTCCAGTTGCAAAATGTGCGTATTGCTTGCACCTTGCAGTTATTTCTTATTAAATTCTGCGAATTCACATATTCCATCATTTGTTTTTTATGATGATATGTGTCATATAATTTAACATATTATAGAGATATAGAGAGAGAAACTTTCTTCAACTTCGGATAATTATCGTAGCTGCCCATTTACGAATTCCCACATTTTCATACAAATTGACTGCAATGTGCAAAGTGCACGCTATTTGCAGATTTTTTGACCTAGAGGAAAACGTTTTTCGATTTTGATCTACTTTAACAGCAATGAACTTGCGAATTCTCACATTTTCATACGAATTGTTTGCAAAGTACAAAGAGCAAGCAATTTGCAGATTTCTCGATGTAGAAATAAAAGACTTTTGATAGTTTAGTATAGTTACTCACCTGCGACTTTGTACTTTTAACGTACGAAGTAATTGCAATGTGCAATTAGTAAAAGAGACAGTCTACCAACTACTTCTTACGAAATCGCACATACGCCTAGCAATCTGGTCGACTCGCTTTCTGTGAATTCATTTTATCATACACTTCGCATTTGCGAATCCTTCGAACATGGAAATTAATGAGTAGTATAAAACTTGGATTTAGCAATGCGCATTTACGAAATTCGTAAAATGCTCTCAACAGTATGTATTTACGAACTGAACGAATCAAACGAACTGGAGTGTTTTCATTTTAATGGTATGAAAGTGTTAAAACAACAGTTTGCACGGTGCGAAGTGCATTTCGAACACCTTGGCCGCACAATTGTTGAACGCAGATCATAGATAACGGGTTATGCATAAGTTTTGCAACAAATGTCGAGCGCTGTTTCTCTATGCTCTTACTATTATGGAGACTTCACCTTCTTTTTGTTTGAAAGAGCAAGGTCTGAGCTACAAAACGCATATCAAATAAAATTATCTCTCGCAAAGCCTCATTGAAAAAAATTTAAAAACTAAATATCACTAAAGTGTTCTGGTAAATCGTCAAAATGTCCGTTCTCTATCTTCTTCGAAACGGTTCTTTTTTTGTTTTAAGGATAGGCTTGAAAGATGACTGATTATTACATTCGAGAGTGGTTGAAACGCTCTTTCGAATGGTGTGCAATACATTTCCTTTTTATTCAGTTTCTGTGAAGAAATAATCGTTTATGTGAGCACCGTTAGAAAATCAGTTAATTGCCAATTCTTGAATTAACAGATGAACTTTTTTCCAATTTTTGAACTATAAAATGATCTTCATTCAATTTTCTACAATCTGGTGTAAAACAAAAACTAATTTCATTCACTTCGTATTTTATGTGATACTTTTGCTGAAAGCCCTAATTGTTAGACGCAAAATCTCAGATTTTCAGAAAATCTGACTTTTAGAAAGCGTTTAAGAAAACCACAAAAAAGTAACTTGAAAATTTTTAAGGAGATCAGATCCATAGAATTTTTCACGAACTATTTTTTCGTGTATTTGGTTTCAGGAAAAAGTGATTATTTTTGACACCTGGGAAAAGCTTTTCTTGGTATGTTTTAGTAAAATTTAACTAGAATATTATTAGTGATGTATAGTTTTTGATTTGTTTCTCAATGAAGTTTGGTGAGAGAAAAGTTTATTTGATATGCGTTTTGTAGTTCAGACTATGCTCTTTCAAACAAAAAGAAAGTGAAGTCCCCCGAATAGTAGGAGCATAGAGAAATAGCGCTCGACATTTGTTGCAAAACTTATATATAACCCGTTATGCCACCGTCACATGCTTCTGAACTTGCGAGGATATTTGTTCGCATTTTTCGTCCGAAAAAACTGAACTCCTCTTTTCCTCTTTTTTTTAAACCTACGGATCCTCTTTTTTCCTTTCTTTTTACAAACTGTCGATGGGATACTAGTTAGAACAAAATTAAACTACTTTTTCATACTCAAATTATGGACTTTTGTAGACAAACTATGAAGAAAATAAAAGAATGAATAAAATTCATTTGAACAAAATATATTGATTATTGTATAGATGAAGAGAAATGGAAGAAAAATAAAAATATATACTTTTTTTGGTGTAAAGGTAAATCCATGAAATATTTAGAATTATATTAGTCGATTGTAATTCTTTTTCATGTCGAGTGGTTTTCTCAAGAGAATGTTGTATATTCAAACCGATCATTCTTTAGAATCCAATGAACATCAACTGAAATAAGAATCTTAGATCATAAGGTAATCATCTTTTATCAACAAAGTGATCATAAATAATAATGAAAAAACATTCTTGTCTTAAAATTTTTAACTAATGTAATAAAATTGTTGTTGTTTTTTGAAAAGAATGTAAAAATAGTAGAAAAATGGTTTTAAAATTATGTTTTCAATTTATTTCTTTTATTTTGCGTTTAAAGTATATAAAATCGTATCTAAAATGTTAATAGATGCTTCAGATATTTTGTTCTTTTAAATAAAAATAAAAACGTGCATACGATAATTGTCAAGTGAAGGGCAAAAATCGAATCATAACCTATTCGTTTTAGAGTTGAAAATGGTTCTTTTCTTTGTTTTGAATTGTATTTAAAAAAGTGATATAAAGGTCATTTATAAAAACAATAGACGTCATCAATTTTTCTTCTTTTTCGATACATATGTTGTTACATTGAGGTTTTTCTCACATACATACGAAAGGTGAAAAACGTGCTTATCGAAAAAGTGTTTTTACGTAAATTTAAGTCTTATAAATAAGAGAAAAAACATACGATTTATGTTCATCATTTTGGGTATACACCTATTGAAAAAAGAAAAGTATATTATAATGAAGTAAGAGAGTGAGAAAAACGAAAAAAAGAAACAATTCAACAAAATTTCTACGATTCTTTTTTTAGTGTATTAGAATGTGTTAGAAAGAATGATTGATTAGATTGATTATTCACGTTGTTATTAATGAATTTTTGATTAGAACAAAGAACTATTTGCTTTTATTAGAACATTTCCGTAAGATAATGGATTATACTATTTATACTATATGAAATCTTTATATCCCATTGATTTCTAATACTTCATATTTTCATAAATAAGATTATAATTAGAAATTTACCACAAAACTTAATTAATTAGATTTTCAGTGATAGGTTTCGATATGTATGTCACAGTCGATTAATAGGATCTTAGCGTAGATCCTTTGAGAATGTGATGAGATCTTGGAGAATAGATTGTTGTTTATTCATATTAAAATTAAGATTAAAAGTCATTTTGTCTTGAAGAAATACTAAATAAAGAAGAAAGCGAGAAAATATACAATAGTACTAAGAACAGTATGTACAGTAACGTCCTTTTATTCCGTCTCTTATGCCATTTGTTTTTTACAGCTAGGTAACAGTATGATGTAGTAAACAACTCAATCGCGGTAGTTAAAATAGATAAGAAATAATAGATATGGTGTTTTTTGAATACTAACGTGGATGAAACAATGAAACGTTATTAAAAATAATGAAATTTTAGTGATGAGAAGCAATAGAGAAAGACGAAAGATAAGATTAGAAAGTACGTTTTAAACAACTGTACTTGGATAAAATAATCATCGTAAGAAATTTTTTGATTGGAATGTAAGTATCGTAAACAAATGCTATGCAATAGACTTTTGTATAGTCTGCTCTTATCTCAGATATTTTCCATAAGTATTTCTGATTATAACATTTGTCTGCAGCTCGCATTTACATGTAAAATTTCATTTTCTCTACAGAAGTTAGTAAGAGACGTCAGAAATAGTTGTACGTGTAATGTTTATTCTTTACTAATTACTAGGGAATTTTCCCATTCTCACAACCCATATGAATATTTTTTTAACCCTCACACTGCAGTCACCTGTTAGAAACCAATATTAGTCAATTTCGCACATCTTCATGTAGAAAACTTCGTTATGTAGGCTGTGCATGAAATATTGAAGTTCTTGCCTGGTCATGTATGAATTAGTTAAAAACACATGAATAAGAGATACTCACGACTTATTATTCACGATTAATAAATACGTAAAAAGTTACATACATTCACAACAGACGGGAATGCTTAACCCCGCGACATGCATGACAGAAGGAAAGAGCAGCTTGAACATTCATCAAAGCAGAAATATTATCACAGACTTTCTGCTAATGAGTTCATTTGTTAGTCATTTACTATAGGGATTTAGGATTCCAAACAACATTTATGCTTCTTGCCTGGTTGCGTTTATATACAAATATAAAAAGAACATTCAAAACAAATTAAAAGTCACGTTGATTCAATCAATGTTAGATAATGAAAGAAATGTTTTTCCTTCATAACATCAAAATATGAGCACTTTTCTCATCGAATCTTCATCCAACAAGAATGAGAGGAAAAAATTCTTTTGTTATGAAACTCCCAAATAGATCTCGCAACAAACACGAATTGAGAATATTCTTTTAACTTAGATTAATCTTACAAATATTCATTGTGCATCTTTCCAAGCATGATTATACAAAAGAAATTTAGAATTTTTTCGTTCTAGTGTACATGCATGTTCGTGCGTGATCGCTCTAAAGATATGCGTTGATGTACATCTGTTGAGTATAAAGCACATAGGCGGAGCGAGATTAGATTTTCTCGACTGTACTAGAGATGTGCACGGATACCATTTTCGTACCCGTACCCGACCAGTACCCGACTTATGTCTAAAAATTTTCTCCTTTTTGTTTTCCAGTTAAAAACTTTTGTTTTTCGGCTGAAGATGTCAAATTATCATTACGTTCTCAAGTAATTCCTTTTTAAACCTTCATGTATTTTAGCTAAACTCCTGTATTTTCTCGCTAAAATTTTGTGTGTTTTCCACTAGAACCTTCCGATTTTCGGGTAAATTAAAAAAAAATTGAACCCGTATCCGACAACTTCGTACCCGTACCCAATCTTCGGGTCGGGTCGGGTACGGGTACGAAGCGGGTTGCACATCTCTCAAATGTATACAGTCTATTTGGTATACCAAATGGCGTACACGATGTTATACATAAAACTTGCTAATTAGTTAATTAAAAAGCTCCATGTATAGAAATTTCATGCGTGTTCATACGAGGTGACTGTCAGAGACGCAACCGGTCCGGGCGCCCGTTCCCTGTCCGGTCCGGTTGAGACTTATCACCTGGTCGATTGGACCGATCCCGGTTGACTTGGCTTATAACGATAATAAAATATGACAGAAAATAGCATATTTATATCGAACAGAAAGCAAAAAGCACCGGTCGCTTAACGGTCAAAGTTTTTGAAAAACGGCTGGTCAACCGTCCGGTCCGGTCCGGTGGCCAAATCTACGCCGGTCAAGATTTTGTTGACCGGTTGCATCTCTGATGACTGTACGCACGATCGTACATGGAAAAAGAGTTGCCATGCGTAGTCATGGCACGGAAGTTAAGGCATTGATCAGATGAGAGATATCCGCAAGTAAAGGCAAGAAAGAATTTGTGCTGCAGATTATATTGTTCCTGAAGAATAGCTAACTATTAAAGATAGAATTTAAAAGATAACGCTTTGCCAGTGAAAAGATCACGCTTTAAATTTGAGCTTTCTTTGAATCGAAAAATGAGCGGATAACGCTTAACTAATTAAATATTATAATTTCTATTCTCGTCTCTCCTAAATTTGTGTCTATCGATCTCGTTTAAATGAAGTGCACTTCTGAACTCTCTACTGAAATATTTTTCAGAAGGAATGATGCTAAAACTAAATTGTCTCTTAGTCAAAGTGTCTCTTTGAAAATGTAACTTATGGAACAATTTCTTGATAAATATGTCGCCTAGGACTGGGATCCGTTGTTTAGAACGATCTCTCTTCAAGCTAGATGTATACTAATAAACTCTCAGGTCAGATGTAGATCACATTGTGTATAGACCATGATGTATTCCACCCAGAGCCTGGCGTTAGGGACGGTTCATATTAAAGAGGTGCATTTCCAGCAAAAATAGCTCCGTCGGACCGAGACCTTGTTCAAAATGGGAGGTGTTCACTGATAGGGGTTTTACTGTAATCTTAAATCAATCGATTTGCAGGATTGAACAGAAGAGAATGAGGTGCACAATATCCTTTAAAAAAGTTTTTTAACCTGCATAGCATGCATTTTTTTAAGCATACAGTAGTGCTCAAAATTATTGTCCCATCTTTACTTTTAGTTTTTCTCCTCGATTATAATAATCAGAACAAATCTGAGAAATGATTTGAATAGTTGAGTTTCCAATCTGATGTGGTGAGGAGTGAGAAAAGTAGTTGACCAAATGTTGAGCGCTATTTCTACATGTCCTTGATTTGTTGGATCCGTTGGGAAAGACCAAAATCTGAACTTCAAAAAAATGTAGAAAACAAAATTTTTTTGTGGTTGAGTTTGATGAATGTAGCCAGTGCAAAGCTCTATCGATCCTTCTACTTTTGAAAATCTCTCAGTAATTCCTGAATAGGAAAGAAAACACATAATACACCCTGTATACCTTTACTTTCGGGAGATCTGGAAATTATAATACTTGCTTAATTAAACATTACCAATTCCTAATATGTGATTTTTTCAATGCAAAATAGTTATCATATTCAAAAAATTCAAAAGTTTTATCTTCTCTGTCTAATTGTATGATCTTTTAAGTGTTTATCCGTTAAATTGATCAAAAATGATAAAAAATGAACTTTGGACTTAATAAGATTAACTTTTCACTTTCGTTCTCATCAACCTTTTTTCTTGTTATAACCGATCAGAAGATCGATCTTTATGTTAGAATCAGAACAAATTTAACATTGCATGAGTATCAAACTTTGTAAATCAGTAAACAATTTTATTATTCCATAATCAAACGAAGACATTTCATTTATTACTTCATAACAGTTATGCATCTACTTATATGTACAATCTCTCACATTCTTTAACAGAACATTTACTTGATTTGAAATATAAATATATTAAAGAAGCAATTTCAACCTGGAAGATCATTTATGTGCAAGAGAATAGGTGTCACACGATGAAAAAAACGAGTAGTGTTCTGCTAAAACCGATTGGAATTTTACTGGTACACTATAACAAAGATGCATTCGTTTTTTTCAGGAATATCAATGATATTTTAAAATTGTATCAAATATGAACACTTTAAAAACTCGCATCACACACGTGTTGAACCAAACAATTATTAATTCTACTACACAAATTCCAACAACAACTATCACTGAGCTCACTACATCATCACCAACATCACCGATCTATGATGCTGAAGGTGCAGCGATTTATATTGCTGTTATTCTGATATGGTATTCAACTGGTTTAGCTATGATGCTATTTTTACAAGTTCGTCCTCGTAACTACAATCATCAATTTTCATTCGATATGGATCGAACGGAAAAAAATCGAAAACATTTACATCCATTCACATACTATAAAAATTTTCAAGAAAATAATAATACAAAACAAATACTAAATGAATTAAAAGATCCTGTTCGACGACAAAAGTTGTGGAAAATATATTTTGGTGCAAAAACAAACGAACATCCACAATATTATCAGACAGTAACTGCTATGGACAGCGTGACAATTAATCGTATAAAACGAAAATTAGCCGATATCCATAAAACAAGTGATGATGGTACATCATCACCAGATATAATTCCTACTTTTGATTATAATACAACATCTCCAGTGCGGCCAACTTTAACACCGGATATGAATTTTTTAAAACGTTTCACATCATTCAGACGTAGTGCTTCGAAAACGCCATCAAATTGTCGCTCTCCTCCACCTCCATTAAAATTAATTCGACGTCGATCGCAAAATGATGTTCTGCTAGAAGCATCTGAATTGCAACCACTTACTAGTGTAAATCATCCTCTAGGAACAGATAGTCTGAACCGTGAAAATAGTCAAACAACAAACGAAAGTTCGGACACAACGAGTGAAACAAATCGTTTAAGAATAGCATCTTCAAATAATCCAGAAAAAAATGTTCAATCTTTAACAAATGCGTCAGCAACAGTTGTAACAGTCCATGAGCCTCCAGTCATAAAAGTATCGTCTGCTACACCATCTACAACAAATAATTCATCGTGGTTTGGTAAAAAACGAAACAATAACTTTTTTTCACGTTTTGTTATTGAAAAAGTATCCGATACAAATAATTTATCTACATAAATAACAATAATAGACTAGTAAAATAAATTTTCTCAACGATGATAATTCGTTTCTCACTACCGGTGTTTCGATGACTTTTTTTATTTATCTCAATTTAAGAAAATTTAATTTCTTCGAATAACATCGTGGAACAAACATATTAGTATTCAAGATGCTAAAATGTTTGGCTAAATTCGAGTCGGATATACTCGCGAACATGATGATGATTTTGAACTATCGATAACCTATTTATTCAGTCAATAGAAAATATTAAACTCGACTACAAATCAGCTTAAAGCTTATAATATTTAAAGCCTATGCTTATCGTGCTAGAAAGTTCTACAGAAATGCTTATTTCTTTGTATACGCTCTCATTCAACTGTAAACTAGAAATAATATCAGCAGCAATTTCAACAACCATAAGTTTGTCGTCAATTGGTAATGACTTTTGTGATCCCTAGTGGAACATCTTGGAACCAAGATCTTGACATCTTAGATTTTTTCGAAAAGATCTTGGCAAGATCTTTCGTACAAGATGTCAAGATATTTTTGTTCCTAAGATCTTGTCCATGATCTTGCGTA